AGAGGAAAKGAAGCAAAGAAGGGATGAAGGAAGAGAAAGAAGTCAATAAAGGAAAAGGGAGGAAGAAAGAAGGGATGAAGGAAAGGAATAAAGGAAAGAGGAAAGGAAGTAAAGAAGGGATGAAGGAAGGGAAGGGAAGAGAGAAAGGAAAGAGGAAAGGAAGAAGGGATGAAAGAAGGGAGAGAAAGGAACAGAGAAAGAGGAAATGAAGCAAAAAAGGAAGAAGGGATGAAGGAAGGGAAGGAAAGAGAGAAAGGAAAAGGGAAAGGAAGAAGGGATGAAGAAAGGGGAATAAAGGAAAGAGGAAAGGAAGCAAAGAAGGAAGATGGGATGAAGGAAGAGTAAGAAGTCAAGGAAAAGGGAAAGGAAGCAAAGGAGAAAGAAAGAAGGGATGAAGAAAGGAATAAAATAAATGAATCAAAGAAGGGATGAAGGAAGGGAAAGAGAGAAAGGAAAGGGGAAAGGAAGAAGGGGTGGAGGAAGGGAAAGCAAGGAATAAAGGAAAGGAAGCAAAGAAGGGATGAAGGAAGGGAAAGAAATAGAGAAAGGAAAGGGGAAAGGAAGAAGGGATGGAGGAAGGGAAAGAAAGGAATAAAGGAAAGGAAGCAATGAAGAAGGGATGAAGGAAGGGAAAGAAATAGAGAAAGGAAAGGGGAAATGAAGAAGGGATGAAAGAAGGGAAAGAAAGGAATAAAGGAAAGGAAGCAAAGAAGAAAGAAGGGATGAAGGAAGGGAAATAGAGAAAGGGAGCAAAGGAGGAAGAAAGAAGGGATGAAGGAAAGGAATAAAGAGGAAAAGAAGCAAAGAAGGAAGACGGGATGAATGAGGGGAAAGAAATAGAGAAAGGGGAATGGAAGACGGGATGAAGGAAGGGAAAGAAAGGAATAAAGGAAAGGAAGCAAAGAAGGGATGAAGGGAAAGCAGAATAGAGAAAGGAAGCAGAGGAAAGAAGGATCAAAGAAAGGATGAAGGAAGGGAAAGAAAGGAATAAAGGAAAGAGGAGGAAGGAAGAGAATGAAGGGAAAGGAATAGAGGGAGGTGTATGAGGATAAATGGAGGAAATGTTGGGTATGTATATATATATATATGTACACACAGTAGTGTAATTATAGATCTGGAAGCATTTCAAATGCTTGCTTCACAGAGTATGATTATGAATGCCTCAGAAGAGCTCTAGAGGAGGCCTCATAAATGGTACTATTCAGGCCTGAATGTGTGTCTCTTGGGGACAAGCCTGGTTTTATTGTTTGAGGGTTTGACTTGATTTCACAGAAAAGGAAGGCCTGAGTGAGGAACTGCTGCTCAGCCAGGCTGTTTCCTTTCCAATCTGCCTAGGAAGTGATTCAGAGAGGCCTAGGAAGCCCTCTCTTTCTGTCAGGAGCTCCCTCCCAACGCCTCCGCCTCCCAAGAAGCTCCAGGCCAGACAAAGGCCGTTGGCGCCCAAACAGCCCCGCCCCCTTCGGAGCCCTCAGTGCGCCTGCGCAAGCGGCCTCCCTCCTCCCTTTCCCCCCCTTTCCCTCTTCGCCGCTTCCAAATAAGGCGTCGAATGAGCCAAACCCGCAAGCCACGCCCCGCCTGCAACTTGATTTGCCCTTATATGGGCATATGAAGCGATGCGGCGCGGGCGGGGGGAGGAGGGAGAGGAGCAAGGCTCGGGAGCGCCCTCTAGCCGCACTGGGAAGGCATTGCAGGGCTTCCGGAAAGCCTTTGAATCGCCATAATAATGAGACTCTCCACTAACCGGCACCCATGCATTATTAGACTGAGTTCTAAACTTGCAGTGCAGTTTGACACGCTTTCACAGTCAAAAACATAACAAAATATACAAATAAAACAGTGTATCATATATTATCAGTAATTATATTTAACTATAGACTTACACTATAGTCTTATTTATTGATATAATTATAGTTACTGATATAACTATATCCTATATATCCTGACAGGGCTTCCTAGGCCTCTCTGAATTGTGTCCAATTCTGGGCACCACAATTCAAGAGAGATATTGACAAGCTGGAATGTGTCCTGAGGAGGGCGACTAAAATGATCAAGGGTCTGGAGTACAAGCCCTATGAGGAGCGTCTTAAGGAGCTGGGTATGTTTAGCCTGAAGAAGAGAAGGCTGAGAGGAGATATGATAGCCATGTATAAATATGTGAGAGGAAGCCACAGGGAGGAGGGAGCAAGCTTGTTTTCTGCTTCCCTGGAGACTAGGACGCGGAACAATGGCTTCAAACTACAAGAGAGGAGATTCCATCTGAACATGAGGAAGAACTTCCTGACTGTGAGAGCCGTTCAGCAGTGGAACTCTCTGCCCCAGAGTGTGGTGGAGGCTCCTTCTTTGGAAGCTTTTAAGCAGAGGCTGGATGCCATTTGTCAGGGGTGATTTGAATGCAATATTCCTGCTTCTTGGCAGAATGGGGTTGGACTGGATGGCCCAGGAGGTCTCTTCCAACTCTTTGATTCTATGATTCTATGATTCTATAGTAATTAACAAAATATACAAATATACAATAATAGTGTATCATATATTATCAGTAATTATATTTTTGTGCCACCTCTACAAAGTTCTGGAGAGACTTATTTTGCATAGAATTATGGAAAAAATAGACCCCTGTCTGATCCCACAGCAAGCTGGCTTCAGGAAAGGCAAAAGCTGCACATCGCAAGTGCTGAACCTGACTCAGCACATAGAAGATGGCTTTGAAAGGCAGCAGATCACAGGAGCTGTCTTCATAGACCTGTCAGCAGCCTATGATACTGTGAACCACCGCCTCCTCCTGAGAAAAATGTATAGTATCACAAAGGACGACCACCTCACCCGCCTCATAGGAAACCTGCTACAAAACAGGAGCTTTTTTGTTGAGTTCCAGGGCCAGAGAAGCAGATGGCGGAAATAGAAGAACGGCCTGCCTCAGGGGAGCGTGCTTGCTCCATCCATGTTCAACATCTACACAAATGACCAGCCACTGCCAGAAGGGACTGAGTGTTTCATCTATGCTGATGATCGTGCCATCACCGCTCAAGCAGGGAGCTTTGAGATGGTAGAACACAAGCTCTCCAAAGCTCTAGGTGCTCTAACTGCCTACTACAGGGAAAACCAGCTGATCCCTAACCCATCTAAAACACAGACATATGCCTTTCATCTCAAGAACAGACCAGCATCCCGAGCTCTGAGGATTACCTGGGAAGGAATCCCATTGGAGCATTGCAGCGCACCCAAATACCTGGGAGTCACTCTGGATCGTGCTCTGACCTACAAGAAGCACTGTCTGAATATCAAGCAAAAAGTGGGTGCTAGAAACAACATCATACGAAAGCTGACTGGCACAACCTGGGGATCACAACCAGACACAGTGAAGACATCTGCCCTTGCGCTATGCTACTCTGCTGCTGAGTATGCATGCCCAGTGTGGAACACATCTCACCACACTAAAACAGTGGATGTGGCTCTTAATGAGACATGCCGCATTATCACGGGGTGTCTGCGCCCTACACCACTGGAGAAATTACCCTATTTATTATTTATTTATTTATTTATTTATTTACTCCATTTGTATACCGCATTTATCAGCCTGGAGCGGCGACTCAATGCGGTTTACAGTAAAAATAAACAGTGAACAATAAATAAGACGCACATCGACAAACAATACACATAATCATCAACGCCTACTTAGAATCAGATCCCGTTCTCATAGTCCTTAATTCAATCCTTGTTCAATGCCGTCATTATTGGGTGGTTGTTACTGCATAGCTAACCGAATGCCTGCTCATAGAGCCACGTCTTAACCCTCCTCCGAAACACCAGCAACGAAGGGGCCTGCCTGATGTCCACTGGTAGGGCATTCCATAGCCGAGGGGCCACCACCGAGAAGGCCCTGTCTCTCGTCCCCGCCAACCGCGCTTGTGACGCTGGCGGGACCGAGAGCAGGGCCTCCCCGGACGATCTTAACGTCTTCGCCGGTTCATAGGTGGAGAAACTACACTGTGTAGCCAGTATTGCACCACCTGACATCCGCCGGGAAGTAGCAGCCAATAGTGAAAGGACCAAGGCTGAGACATCTCCAGCCCATCCCTTGTTTGGGCATCAGCCAGCACTTCAACGACTTAAATCAAGAAATAGTTTTGTAAGATCTACAGAGACGCTTGCTGGAACACCTCAGCAAGCGAGAGTCCAAAAGTGGCAGGCTCAAACCCAGAACCTCAATCAATGGCTGATACCAAATGAGAGACTCCCTCCTGGGCACACAGAAGACTGGGCAACTTGGAAGGCGCTGAACAGACTGCGCTCTGGCACCACGAGATGCAGAGCCAACCTTCAGAAATGGGGCCACAAAGTGGAATCCACGACATGCGAGTGTGGAGAAGAGCAAACCACTGACCACCTTCTGCAATGCACCCTGAGCCCTGCCACATGCACAATGGAGGACCTTCTTGCGGCAACACCAGAGGCACTCCAAGTGGCCAGATACTGGTCAAAGGACATTTAACCAACTACCAAGTTCGCAAAATCTGTGTGTTTTTTTTCTTTTTCTTTTTAATCTGTGTGTTTGTTTTGCTCTGTTAAATTGTAATTCAATGGTATGGTTGCTGATGACATGATAAATATAAATATATATTATATTAGTAGCATAGCACAATATTGTATTTGTTTTCTTTCTTTCTTAATTTAAATCTTTATTAATTTCTTCATACTGATAACAAAACAATATTGCACAATATTGTATATGTGTGCAGATTATATTCTTGCTTCTTGCCCTCTTTCATCATGGGGAGCTCCCCTTGACTACTGCGCATGCGCAAATCGAGCCTCTCTCGGGTTCTTCCCTATTTCTGCAGTTTCAGCCTTCTGCCACTGAGCGCGAAGTGAGCATGCGCACACGGAGGCGTCTCGTTTCAGCCGTCTGCCACTGAGCGCGAAGTGAGCATGCGCACACGGAGGCGTCTCGTTTCAGCCTTCTGCCACTGAGCGCGAACTGAGCATGCGCACAAGGAGGCTTCTTGTTTCAGCTGAGTACGCATGCGCACACCCGTTCTTTGGCGGCCACTTCGATTTCCTTGCACTTCCGGCAACTTTGAGGCGCCGGGAGCACGAGAGGAACCCAATAAAGCCCTCGAAGTGTGGGAAAAAGGATGCCGAAGCCTCCTCCGGTGTGTCCGAACCCTTTATTTATGCGCTGGCTCCAAGAATGGCGCGACGAAGCCGCCGAACGCGGGCGACCAAGAAGCCAAAGGGCCTACGAAAGGGTAAGCCACGCCCCCTTGTGGAGAAGCCACGCCCCCTTGTGGAGAAGCCACGCCCTCTTTCAGTGAAAGCCACGCCCACACGAATGAATGAATGCATTTTGACACTGCTGTCACTGCTATGGCTCAATGCTATGGGATCCTAGTAGTTGCAGTTTGGCAGAGAAGGTGGAAGAAGGACCTTGTAAAACTACAACTTCCAGAATCCCATAGCATTCAGCCACTGGTATCAAACTGCATTAAATCTACAGTTTAGATGCATGGCAGAATCGCCCTTCAAACTCTTAATATTTCAAAATAATATTTGGTGGTGATGATGATTGATTGAGACTCCTCTGGAGGTTTTTTAAGCAAAGACTGGATGGCCATCTATCGAGAAGTATTTATTTAGCTGGGTTGTTGTAGGTTTTTTCGGGCTATATGGCCATGATCTAGAGCAGTGGTTCTCAACCTGGGGTCCCCAGATGTTTTTGGACTTCAACTCCCAGAAATCCTAACAGCTGGTAAACTGACTGGGATTCCTGGTAGTTGTAGGCCAAAATACCTGGGGACCCACAGGTTGAGAACCACTGATCTAGAGGCATTCTCTCCTGACGTTTCGCCTGCATCTATGGCAACCATCCTCAGAGGTTGTGAGATCTGTTGGAACTAGGTAAAAGGGTTTATATATCTGTGGAATGACCAGGGTGGGGCAAAGGACTCTTGTCTGCTGGAGCTAGGTGTGAATGTTTCAGCTGACCACCTTGATTAGCATATAATGGCCTGACAGTGCCTAGAGTAAACTTTTGTTGAGAGGTGATTAGATGTCTTTGTTTGTTTCCTCTCTGTTGACGTTTAATTGGGTTTCTGTGAGTTTCCCGGGCTGTATGGCCATGTTCCCGAAGCAGTCTCTCCTGACGTTTTGCCCACATCGATGGCAAGCATCCTTAGTGGTTGTGAGGTCTGTTGGAAACTAGGCAAGTGAGGTTTATATATCCATGGAATAATAATAATAATAATAATAATAATAATAATAATAATCTTTATTTATACTCCGCCACCATCTCCCCCGATGGCCAGCTTGATTAGCATTGAATGGCCTTGGAGCTTCAAAGCCTGGCTGCTTACTGTCTGGGGGAATCATTTGTTGGAAGCAACTCAAAAACAGGGGAATTCCAGGCAGGAATAAATCAGTGCTAGCTAACACCTCCCAACATAATAATAATAATAATAATAATAATAATAATAATAATAATAATAATCTTTATTTATACCCCGCCACCATCTCCCCCAATGGCCAGCTTGATTAGCATTGAATGGCCTTGGAGCTTCAAAGCCTGGCTGCTTACTGTCTGGGGGAATCATTTGTTGGAAGCAACACTCAAAAACAGGGGAATTCCAGGCAGGAATAAATCAGTGCTAGCTAACACCTCCCAACATAATAATAATAATAATAATAATAATAATAATAATAATAATAATCTTTATTTATACCCCGCCACCATCTCCCCCAATGGCCAGCTTGATTAGCATTGAATGGCCTTGGAGCTTCAAAGCCTGGCTGCTTACTGTCTGGGGGAATCATTTGTTGGAAGCAACACTCAAAAACAGGGGAATTCCAGGCAGAAATAAATCAGTGCTAGCTAACACCTCCCAACATAATAATAATAATAATAATAATAATAATAATAATAATAATAAACTGGGTTGTTGTAGGTTTTCTTGGGCTATATGGCCATGTTCTAGAGGCATTTTCTCCTGACGTTTCGCCTGCATCTATGGCAAGCATCCTCAGAGGTAGTGAGGTCTGTTGGAACTAGGAAAATGGGTTTATATATCTGTGGAATGACCAGGGTGGGACAAAGGACTCTTGTCTGTTGGAGCTAGGTGTGAATACAAACACCATTACAAATAACACATCAACAATATAAAATCACACCGTTTCAAACACAGAAATCAATCACTGTGGGCAGGGCCAATCTAATAGATTAAAAAAATTAAAAACACTGGGTGAGATGCCAGTGTAATGTATCTGGGCAGGGGGTCCGGAGGGTAAAATAGGGTTTGATTGCACTTAACAGGTAAAATAAAGTGCTTCCGAGGGCATTTGCAGGAATTGGTCAGGTTGCGGAATTATTGTTCAGGGTGGGAGAAAGGAGGCAAGTGTGAATGTTGCAGTTGGTCTCCTTGATTAGCATCGAACAACCTTGCAGCTTCAAAGCCTGGCTCCTTCCTGCCTATATTGTTAATGTTTGGACTAGACGTCCCACGCAAGCGTTCCTAGCTCTATGGGTCTGTAATCCTTTCCTTAAATCAGAGAACCTAGAACCTAGAAGTATTCACCCCTCTCTCTCTCCGTTCATAGGCCCTGAGCTCCCTCCGCAAATACCCCTTGCCTTTGCACAGTGGGCGCGAGGCCCGGATCCTCCAATACTTCGGGGATCAGATCTGTCGGCAGCTGGAGGAACGCCTGGAGAGACACCGAGAAGACATGGCAACAACTGGTTTGTGCTGGGGGAAACTAGGGGTTTACCACTTGATCTGATAACTTACTTAGACAATCCCTCGCTGTCTGAGCAGTGTAGTGTCTTGATGGTGGATACGTAGGTGACTGTGGAGCCCTATTCTTGTTCCGTATGTTCTTCCACAATGAGGGCATCAGTTTCCAGATAGAAGGCGGTGCCAGTCAAGGTTGGCTTGACACCCCTTCTTCCTCTTGGCACGTTTCTCCCTTTCGCCCTGTATTTGTGCTTCTTCAAATTCCGCAGCACTGCTGGTCACAGCTGACCTCCAGTTAGAGCGCTCAAGAGCCAGGCCTTTCCAGTTCTCTGTGTTAATTTTATTTATTTTATTTACGCCATTTATATGCTGCCCTTCTCACCCCAAAGGGGACTCAGAGCAGCTTACAATATATATTTTCATACAATATATTATATTATTAGCATAGTACAATATCAGCATATATTACTATATTGCACTATACCGTTATATTATAATATTATTAGTAATATTACACGTAATGTAAATATATAATTATAATTATAATATTGAATAATTATTACTAGTATTATATTGTATTACATTATAATATTATAAATATTATATGTATATGCAATATACTATATTATATTATTAGTAAAGACAAGATGGAAGTGTCTTCTGCTCCCTTCTGTCTTTGCTCTGGCCAGAGCAGCCATGTTTATGCAGCGAAAAGCCAATGCGATTCTAGGCTGCATCAATAGGAGGACAGTGTTATAATAATAATATCTATATAAATAAAAATGTAATGTTCGTTTGTGGGGTTGACATAACTCAAAAACCACTGGACAAATTGACACCAAATTTGGACACAATATACCTATCAGGCCAACAAGTGACCATCAGTCATAAAAACACTGAAAAACACAGCAGAAGAGACTTAAAAATCCAAAAAACAAAAATACATTACAACACATGCACAAAACCAAACATGGCTGGATGGACATCTTTCAGGAGTGCTTTGAGGGTGCCTTCCTGCCTGGAAGAAGAGGATTGGACTGGATGGCCCTTGGGTTCCCTTCCAAATCTAGGATTCAGTCTTCTTTGATGATGATGATGATGATGATGATAGGGATGGGTTCTCCTTCTCTGGAGTTTTGAAGCAGAGGCTGGATGGCCATCTGTGATGAGGGCTTTGATGGTGGCTTCCTGGAAGAAGAGGATTGGACTGGATGGCCCTTGGGGTCCCTTCCAACTCTAGGATTCAGTCTTCTTTGATGGATGATGTAGCAGAGGCTGGATGGCCATCTGCCAGGAGGGCTTTGAGGGTGCCTTCCTGCCTGGAAAGAGAGGATTGGACTGGATGGTCCTTGGGTTCCCTTCCAACTCTAGGATTCAGTCTTCTTTGATAATGATGATGATGGTGGTATCTCCTTCTTTGGAGTTTTGAAGCAAAGGTTGGATGGCCATCTGTCAGGAGTGCTTTGATGGTGCCTTCCTGCCTGGAAGAAGAGGATTGGACTGGATGGCCCTTGGGGTCCCTTCCAACTCTAGGATTCAGTCTTTGATGATGATGATGATGGTGGTGGTGGTGGTGGTGGTGTCCCCTTCTCTGGAGTTTTGAAGCAGAGGCTGGATGGCCATCTGTCAGGAGGGCTTTGATGGTGCTTTCCTGCCTGGAAGGAGAGGATAGGAATAGATGGCCTTTGGGGTCCCTTCCAACTCTAGGATTCATTCTTCTTTTATGATGATGATGATGATGATGATGATGGTGTTTCCTTCTCTGGAGTTTTGAAGCAAAGGTTGGATGGCCATCTGTCAGGAGGGCTTTGATGGTGCCTTCCTGCCTGGAA